TTGAAGAGAACACAAACAAATGGAAAGATATCCAATGTTCATGAACTGGAAGAATTAATATTGTTAAAATGACCTTACATAGAATGGTATTATTCTGACACCATTCAATAAATGATGTTATAAAAACTGAATATCCATAGGAATGAAACTAGACCCCTTACTATATACAAAAATCAACTCAAAATTGATTAAAGACTTAAATGTCAGACCCAAAATTGTAAAACTGCTAGAATAAAACATAAGGGAAAAACTTTAGGACATTGTTCTAGGCAACAACTTTATGACTAAGACTTCAAAAGCACAAGCAACAAAAACAAAAATACACAAATGGGACTATATTAAACTAAAAAGCTTCTGCACAGCAAAAGAAACAATAGCGTGAAGAGACAATGTGCAGAATAGGAGAAAATGTTTGCAAACTATTCATTAGACAAGAAACTTATATCCAGAATATTCAAGGAACTCAACAGCAATAATAATAATAATAATAATCCCGTTTAAAAAGTGGGCAAGGTGGGTGCAGTGGCTCATGCCTATAATCCGAGCACTTTGGGAGGCCAAGGCAGGCGGATCACCTGAGGTCAGGAGTTCAAGACCAGCCTGGCCAACATGGTGAAACCCCGCCTCTACTAAAAATACAAAAATTAGCCAGGGGTGATGGTGTACACCTGTAATCCCAGCTACTCAGGAGGCAGAGGCAAGAGAATCACTTGAACCCAGGAGGTGGAAGTTGCAGTGAGCCAAGATCACGCCACTGCACTTCAGCCTGGGTGACAGAGCGAGACTCCATTGCAAACAAACAAACAAAAAAAGTAGGCAAAGGACATAAGTAGGCATTTCTCAAAAGAAAACATACAAATGCTCAACAGGTATATGAAAAAATGCTTGACATCACAAATCATCAGGGAAATGCAAATCAAAACCCCAGTTGAGGGATATCATCTCACCCCAGTTAAGATGGCTACTATCAAAAGACAAAAAGTAACAAATGCTGGCAAGGATGTGGAGAAAAGGGAGCTCTTACATGCTTTTGGTGGGAATGTAAATTATAACAGCCATTATGGAAAACAGTATGGAAGTTTCTTT